TCTCTCTAAGCTGGGGCTGGCATGTCCTTTCTATCTACCATTCCTCCTGCATGTTGTGATTTTACCATCCCGGCGGTCGCAGCCACAGCTGGCAGACAGGCCAGTAGAGGGGAGGCTTCCCTGGGTCCTGGCAGCGGACATGGCTGGGACTCAAGCTTTTTCACTCACTCTCTCCTCCTTCCCACCCACCACCACCAAATTCTTACAACACCTATTGTTTAATCTATATGATTTTGTTCTCAATTTTTACATTAAAAAATTTTTAAGAGTATAAAAATTATATATATAAATTAAAAAATAGTTTGGGGGAGAAAACGGGAATCGTCACTACATTAAAAGATGCTTATTGATTTCAGAAGCCTTAAAAAGTAAGTAAATGTGCATCTCATAATCTGGGAAATGCAGTGTGTGCACAACCGGATTGTCTCCTCCTGGAGGGAAGGGAGCCACTGGCTCTCTCTTCCACTAGATTGATGCCTTTCATTCTCCCTGAAAGCAGCATGGCACAGTGGCCATGGACCAATGACTCCTTCACTGTTTGTTGAATGACAGAATGACAAACACACAAGACCTTTCATGGGTGAAAACGTTTATCTCCACACATAGAAATGGAAGACATTAGTCTCTAAATCATTGATAATCCAGATGTGGGGGTGGAAAAGCCGTGTTTCTTTAAAACTGGACACTTCTTATCCGTAAGCACTTAGGAATTCAAGTAGAAAAAAAAAGTTTGACCCTTTCCTCAATAAGAATCACAGATCTCTTTTTGGAAGACGACAAATTCTGGATTTGTGGGGTCAAAAGTCATAACATTTAACAGTAGATATAGCATATGCCTGTGTGAAATATCCCACAGTTTTGGCCTAAAACCAAACACAGGAGGTATGGTTTTCTGGTCCTGGAGTTCAGTGAGGAGGAATGTGAGGACAGATTTTGTAAAGTCAGAATTTAAGAGTTGGTTTTGTTTCGAGGGAGTAACATGCAAATGTGAGGGAAGGGATGAGTCAGTAACGGCTTCACAATAGAGGAGGAGCTGTGGCGTTGCCAGATTGTCCTTCCCCCCACCTCTGCTCCCTAGCCTGTGTACTCTCCCCACCCCAAAACCAACTACATGGCCAGACTAGGGCTAGATGGGTATTACATGAGACAATGTATGTGGCAGAGCCAGGACTAGTGCACGGACTTGTATGACCTTGAGAATGAGTGCTTCCTTAAATTTTGCACCCCAGGGGCCTCTCTTGCCTCACCCTGGTCCCAGCCCTGACATGTGACAATATGTTCAAAGTTGTCAAATACTAAAGAAATAGCCCAGCCTTCCAAGATCTCTTCTGTTAGATCCCACTCATTCCAACCTAATTTCCAACCACATCCTGGACCATACTGTTACTTTCACGACATCACTGAGGCCCTTTTTCTTCCACCTGCCCACTGCATCCCAGGTGCCTGCTCTCTACCAAGTTTTAAGTTAACTCCGTATCTCCATCCCACCCTCCTAAGGGTGTGCTCTATAGAGGAGAGAGGAAGCTAGAGACCCAGTCTTGTCTCTTGTTAAAACAAGTGGGTGTTCCCCTGGTGCCACAGCCTTTGTCACCAAGCAGTCCAGTCTAGAGTTGGGAGACAGGTGGGAAGATTTGCTGGGAGATGGGCAATTTGCTCCCATTTTAAGCAGCTTTGGAGCTTTGCATAGCGATGCCCTCTGCTGCCCTCTGTGGCCAAAACATCAATGTCTCTAGGGACACTAAATCTTGGGATCCAACTCTCCCTGCCATCACCTTTCAAAGCTTTTCTCCTTTAGTTCTCCATGGGCTTTAAAAAGTAAAATGGGACACTCTAGCCACAAGCCTACATCCGGTTTATACTCTCAGCTCCTTCCTGCAAAGGTTGTTGAACTGAATCCTGGAAGAAATCATAAGAGGTCATTGGGCCCCTCGGCTCTGCTCTAAGCAAGGCTGGGTCCAGTCCTTCTGGGAATCATATAGACTTTTGGTGAATCTCTCAGACACTGCCAAAATTCCAGACTCTTCAAAGTTATTCACTGGGATTTCCACAAAATTTGTCCAGTTGTTTATCTTAGCTCAGGGACCTTTCACTTAGGGGGCAAAATCTCAATTAGAAAGATGGGCAGGCTGGCCATGGGGAAGGAGCTATATTAATATGGTTGATGGGTTCTTGAGTGACCTTTTAGCTTTCCTCTTTCTTTCTTTCTTTGTTTTAAACATCTAAAAAGCTAATTTCAGGGGCCGGCCCGGTGGCATGATGGTTAAGTTTGCGCACTCCGCTTTGGCGGCCCGGGGTTCGCAGTTCAGATCCCAGGCACAGACCTATGCACTGCTTATCACACCATGCTGTGGCAGGCGTCCCACATACAAAGTAGAGGAAGATGGACACAGATGTTAGCCCATGGCCAATCTTCCTCAGCAAAAAAGAGGATTGGCAACAGATGTTAGCTCAGGGCTAATGTTCCTTAGCAAAAAAAATAAATAAAAATAAAAAGCTAACTTCATAAGTTCAACCCTGCTGAAGTATTCTCTGTGAGTTGGGGGTGTTGCTTTGTGACTCAAGAAGTTTCTCCTTGCTCTGGCAGTGAATGGTTTTGGTCACCTGGAAGCTGCCAAAGCACCTGTTTCTTCTCCCACTCCGGTCCCAAGTGAGATAAGTAAGCTTATTGCTGATTAAAGAAGAACTGTGTCTTACCAACATGAAATGGCTGGCTGGAGAAGCCCCAGTAGGAAATCACTCCATTCGTGAAACCCACCAGCCCCAAGAAACGGCTCCCTAGAGAGATTTGCAATCTCTGAATCCCTCGACCATCAGGTGTGAAGTTTGATAGCAAAGTCTGTATGCTCAGTGCTCAGTGGCTCTAGGAAAATGAGAAAATGTGTCTGGTTTTGTAGTTTTCCGCAGGTTTTTTCCCCCCTTCCCCTGTTCTGCTTTCCAATGCCTTTCAAAGGCTCCTGAAAAGTGTCCCCACCCCTCTTACCATGTACAAGGAAAAAATACGTGTTTATTTTGTATTTTATTGGTGACAAAAAAGCCACACCCAAAAAAATTCCACTTATGTGGATTATTTTATTTTTTCTTAATGTTTATTTTTGTATTGTGGTAAAAACCCATAGCATAAAATTTACCATCTTAACCATTTTTAAGTGTAGAATTCAATAGTTAAACATACTCACATTGTTATGCAACAGATCTCTAGCACTTTTTCATCTTGTAAAACCAAAACTCTATACCCATTAAACACTGATTCCCACCCGCTTCCCCGCCCCCCGCCCCGTCCCCAGTCCTTGGCAACCACCTTTCCACTTGGTTTCTATGCAACTGCCTATTTTAGATACTTCATGTGATTGGAATCATACAGTATTTGTCCTTTTATGACTGGCTTATTTCACTTGGCATAAAGTCCTGGACGTTCATTACGCAAATTATTTTAATATAAAATGTGGCGAGGCTAAGGGGCAAAGGTAGAGCAAGGCTTCGGGTCCCAGGGCGGACCAGTGCCATGGCCATTGCTTTCTCTCCAACTCACACCTGTGAAGCCTGCCGGCCCTTCTCAAAGCTTGCAAGATTAAGAGCCTCCCCTGTCCCTTCCGGAGATTGCCCTGCTGGATCACCACAACGTGGGTAGGGAACGGGGTGGGATTCTGGGGGGAGCAGCTCAACGCCGGCCAGGGGCGCCCGGCCGGCAGGGGTAGAAGGTAGCATTTACAGCGCAGCTGGAAAATCCCTGCGCTCTAGCGGCCTGCCCCTCAGATCTCGGATCTCCCCACAGCCAACACCTGCAGCCGTCACGTTCCTAGGGCTTTAATCCGAGGACCCTGGAAACACATAGGTCAGGCCTGAGATTCTGTGATTTGACGACACGCTGTCAACTCTTATCCCGAGATCACACTGGAAACCAGACTGACTAGGCCAATTCTGAACTGGCCCGGACCCGCGCGGTCGTGGCCCAGGGTTGGGAGCAGGGTGTGGCAGGTCAGACAGCTCGAAGGCCATCTCTCCCGCATCCTCGCCAAAGCCATACCGCCCAGCACAACCCCGCAAGCAGCCGACGCGCCAGTTGACGGAAGGGAAGCACGCGCAGCGCTAGCTCAATTTCACAGCGCTGTTTCCCCCAGACCCGACAGGAGCTGGTCCTCGGTCTCCCCGCCTGTCCTCTCAGAGGCAAAGTCCGCTGCGTTCTGCCGGAAAAAGTGCATCGCCCAGGCCCAGAGCGCGGCCGCTGGGGCCCTCGGAATTATTCCCCCCGGCCCGAGGGGCCACGCAGCGGGGCGAGGGACGCGGGAGCGCGGCACGGCGGAGCGGCTCGGCGAGGCGCAGCAGGACGCGGGACCCTCGGCGCTCGCGGTCCGGCCCTCGTCCCAAGGGCATGGCGGAGGGGGGAGGACACCGGCGCAGAGGAGCACTCCCGCTCCCCCGCAGCACTTCCGGAGACCAACTTCTCGCTGGGGCGAAGCTGCGCCTCCCCGGTGCGGAGTCCCACCTTGCTCCCCGCCACCCCATCGACCTCATAAACAACTCCTGGAACTGCGGACGGAGGAGGCGGGGAGGGCAGGCCGTAGCAGAGCCGAGCGCGGGGGCAGGGGGCGGGCGGGGTCAGGGCAGAGGC